AAGCATAGTCCTGAGAGTTTCCCCAAAAGCCTATCAACTTATGAAAAGAATGAACAATACATTATATACAGACCTGGAACGTTGTCAGATACAAGATAAAATCCTAGTAAAACAATGCCAAAATTGTTTTCAGTTTAATCCAGACCATAAAACAAAAGAATGTCCAAATGTACAAATATGCTGTATCTGTGGAGCCCAGGGCAATCACGTCTGTACAAAAGAGCTAAGATGTCATAACTGTTCAAAGCATCCAAGACTCAGGAATAGTCCGATTAACCATAAACCAAATACAAATGACTGTCCTCAATATAAATTGCAGGTTGATAGAACAGTGAGAAGAACTCAATATCTCATCGGTTCAGAAGAGGAATGAATAACGAATTTAGTTATTTGTAATCATGGTGATCACTGCTCTACCATATAGAGGAAACATAAAATGTTTACAACAGAATATTAGAAAAAATATGACAGCTTTAAACGAACTTTCAATTTCAACGAATAATAATCCACCCGATATTATATTACTTCAAGAACCATATGTTTTAAATAAACAGGTTATATTTGATTTAGACTCACCAATAATTCATTCAAAGACATCAGAAAATATTTACACAGCAACAATCATTGTAAATAAAAATATAAAATTCAAAAAATTAGATAATTTTACGAATCAATTCTGTACTGCAATATCTGTCATAACCTCAAATTCGTTTGTAGTAATCGCAAATTTTTACCTTCATCCCAATTCCTGTAATGATACTCACTTAGATTTTATAAGAAACTTGATTAATACTTATTCAAATAACCCTATAGTCCTATGCGGAGATTTCAATTCCCGTCATCCAATCTGGTTCGATAAAATAACAAATTCAAATGGTTACAAATTGCAAACAATAATAAATGAAAATCACTTGTACATTCACAACGATAAAACTCCAACATGTAGAGGGGCAAGTATAGTAGATCTAACAATCTCGAATAGACTTTCAATAAATATGATCAGACATTGGGCCACCTCATCACTGAAGAATATTTCTGATCATTTGGCAATTCAATTTGAAATTCACTCAAAATTTAATTATATAAAAGATAAACAGAATTCTACATGGAAATTCAATGAAAAACACGCCAACTGGACAAATTTCTCCAAAAATCTCAAGTATCAAGAATTTATCAAATTAAAGAATGAGGCAGATATGGTGGAAAATTGCACGGATATTGATAAAGTTGTAAACAAACTCACGGATAACATAATAGAAGCAGCTTACATATCATTAAAAGTAAAATCAAACAACTACGCATACGATGCAGGGATAAAGTGGTGGAATAAAGAACTTGAACAAATGAAAACACATTTTCATTATGTAAGAAACTTATTTTATCACAGTAAGACTATCGATGCAACAAGATTTAAACAAGTCAGAAACAAATTTAATAATATGATAAAGAAAGCAAAGAGAAATAGTTTGAAAATTTTCATCGAAGAAAATGAATCAAATGATCCTTTTGGTAACGCATATAAAATTTTCAAAAAGCTCAAATCCTCAAACAAGCAAAAAGGACTTCCCATAATAGACAACAATCAAGAATCAGAAAAAGAAAAACGCATTACAGACATAATAAATGTATTAATTGCAGATGACAGAATTGATCAAGACAACCATCAACAAGAATTGGTTAGAAGTTACGAACCTTTTCTAAGGAATTCAAGCGCTATCCATATTGATACCGAAGAAATAGAATATCTAATTGACAATAGCAATGTTAAAAAGTCACCAGGTCAAGATAATATCAGTAATAACATGATAAAATGCGCAAAGACTCTGATACTTCCGGTGCTACATTCGTTATTAAATAAATGTATTCAGATGGGATATTTTCCAAGGGAATGGAAAACGACAGTTTTAAAAATTCTAATGAAACCAAACAAATCTAACGTCGAATCAATAAAAAGCTATCGACCTATTTCGTTAACATCTAATCTGTCTAAGATCTACGAAAAGGTTATTAAAAAGAAAATTTATGAATATTATATGCAAAACAATTTATTAAGTCCCAAACAGCATGGATTCATCAAGTTAAAATCTACTATTACAGCCTTGAATAATATAATCGATATAATAATGGAACACAAAACCAAAGAACTGACAGCTCTGGTCACAATAGATATTGCGGGAGCCTTTGATAATGCATGGTGGCCTGCGATCTTAAAAATAATAGATGAAGATAACTTGCCGGAAAGTTTAATAAGGACTATTCAATCATATTTCAAATTGAGGAAAACGAAATTTACATATGAGAACTTAACAATAAATAAACAAATTACAAAGGGATGTCCGCAGGGTGGCCCGCTATCTCCACTACTATGGATAATATTACTAAACGATCTTTTGATCAAATATCAAGTTCCTAATAGTGAAGTGGTATGTTATGCGGATGATGTATCAATTATATGCTGGCACAACAATTGCAAAGACCTGAAATTAGTTATAGAAAAGGCATTAAATACGATTGATGTATGGTGTAAGAGTAACAAACTTGAAATAAGTCTAGAAAAAACTAATATACTTTATTTACATAACAAAGAAAAAATTCCAATCAAATTTAATAATGAAATAATCATACCAACTCTGAAGACAAAAATTTTAGGAATAATAATTGCAAATCACAGAAGAAGAAACAAAATAAATTTTACATACCACATAGAAGAAATAGTAAATCGTACAAAACGTTTTAAAAATTATCTCTTCTCAATTTGCGGGAAATCTTGGGGTCTAAGCACCCAGAAAAGGCTAACTTTATATAAATCCATTTTCAGACCAATACTTACATATGGAGCCGAAATTTGGTTCAAATATTTAAATAAAAAATGTTTACAAAAACTAAATTCAACCCAATATCAAATACTGACATGGTGTATACAAGCCTATAAATCCACATCATATAGCTGTGTTCATAGTTTGGCCAACATTCCTTTGATATCAGACTTTATCGAATCCAGAATCATGATATCTGATCTGAGAAACTTATCCCCAGATGATCAACAAATTTATGACCCATTTATTCCAGGAATTATAGATACCTTTCTCAAATCAAGAATGAATGTTCTGAAAAACGAAGCAAATAATACTTTCTTAAGCTTTTTTCCCCAAGAAATCCCTAAATACTTTCGTCCAAATTTTTATAATACTCAATTTGTTACAAACCACGGAAATTTCAAAAGTTTTCTAAATAGAATAAAGGCAGTGGAGGATTCAAGTTGCTTTTGTGGTATGGAGGAACAAACCTCAAGACATCTACTGATCGATTGCCCAGCATTTCAAGATTATAGAATGAAGAATGAACTAGTTGTTTATAATTTAAACGATTTGATTTCCGATAAAAAATCATATCTAAAGTTCAATTCATTTTGTAAATACATTCTAAAATTTCTACAAAATCTGAATTTCTAATGTTTTTATTCATTGAATAATGTAAATAACTTATGTAAACAAACTTCTCTCCTTGTTTGGCGCAAGTATCCCTTGCGGGATATAGCGCTTTGGAAATAAAATAATTGTAATTGTAATTGTATTCAAATACTATTTGTTACAATTATAAATTGGCGCCTTAAATAAATGCATATATTAGTTAATAACTATAGCCTATGTGCTTTATCTGTCTATGTACTGTTGGCTTCCGTAGGCGTCTCTTACTGGGAAAAAGAAAGAGAGGATTCCATTTAGTTATTAACTAATATATGCATTTATTTAAGGAGCGACCCGCTCCAACACAATAGTTACAAAAACGAAAAAGCGAGTGGGGGGGGGGGGGGGGCATGGTGGGGGGGCAAAGGTGGAGTGATCGTAGCCAACCAATAGGAGAGCGCCATTCCAAAAAAAAAGCAAACCGCGACAGAGATGAAAACTGAAGAATTAAGAAATGAAGAACGCATAACGCTCGTAACTGTATATTGGATGCTGCTCGAGGGAATGTTGAGCCGAAAAACCTTGTTTCTGCCTACCAAACATGATGTTTTTATTTTATTATAATTATATTTTTAATAACAACAACAACTAACAACAACAAAAGTTTTATTAAGACATTCCGCCTTGTAATGATTCGCCGTACAAAAAAATAAAAATGAAACCAAATATTTACATAATTAAGGGTACGAAAAGATAGTTGTTTTATATATACATATTTTGACTTTTATTTTGTTGGCTATTTTTCTCAAGATAGCTTTATGATAGTTATATAGTTCTATTGCTATGTTTTTATTTTCTAATTCTGATATCCTAAGTATGTTTTTTTGGAAGATACATTCAGTAGAAATTTACCCCAATACAAGTTTTTCACTTCTGGAGGTCCTTCCCCCATTTCTAAATATCAATATCTTTGTCTTTTTCTCGTTTAGAACCAATTGATTATTCTCCAGATACCACTTGAATAAGTTGATTTTACAGTTGATAGCAATGCCGTCAGAATACATGAGTATATGTAGACATCCAAAGTCCGCTAGGTAGAATCCTGAAAGTGATGAATTGTTGTAAGATTATATTAGGACCACCATATAAAGTATAAATAAGAGAGGAGAAAGTGGTTCTCCCTGTAAAAAAGTTCTCATTGATTTTTAAATATTTAAAGTATTGTGTTTGCCATCTAATCGTAATCTTATTATCAATATAAATTTTGCACTCAAACCCAGTTTGTGTAGTTTTTTTTCCAGAGTACTACGTCTGGGACTGCATCGAATGCTTTGGTTAGGTCGACGAAGAAAACATATAGTTTGCCTCGTTTCCTTCCTAACGATAATTGGATTAGTGTATTTAATGTGAATATATGGTCTTTGCATGAATAATTTTAATGATATCATTCTTGATTTCAAGGTCTAGATTGTTTTACTTCGATTCACTCAGTTGGTTTTTTATATTGTACTAGCCGAATGACCCGGGCAACGCCCGTGTTTTACCCGATTGAATGTTTTGATTCAAATACTATTTGTTACAATTATAAATTGTGGTCATGTGGCCTAGTGGTCATGGCATCTGCCCGGTAAGCGGAAGGTCGTGGGTTCGATTCCCATCCCTTGACACAACAGGAAAGGTTTGCCATGGTGGAGCATGGTCTCCGATCGGGACATCAGCCAGATTGGGAAAATACTTCCACTATTCACAGGGGCATCCAGAACTCGCACCAGAGGAAGTTCCTGGAGGCCATAGCATCAATGAAGGACCCTGCTAGTGTAAATAGATACGAAGAAATCCCCGAACCTTATTTTTTTTCTAATAATCGCAGTCAACTTAATTTGTTTCTTATTTTTATTTCCTTAAATTTTGTTTCAAAAACATTAGAAAATACTGCATTACAAAAAAGCCTTTAATTTTCAATATATTTTATTATATTATTATTATTTTTTTATCATTATCAGTAATTATTTTTGACCAATGACAAATTTGTTTCCATATGATGTACAATAAATTGTAAATTAAATTCACTGTGCAATAAATTGATAAAGAGGGAGCAATCTCTCGAAATATTTTAAGAAAAAAAAAAAGTTTTTTTTTTCTTTACAGATCCAGGTACGCCCTTTTATATAATTTGTTGAATATATTTCTTAGCTTTATTAAAGTAGGTTCTGTTAGTTCCTTTGATAGTTCGTTGGGTATATTATATTCCCTTCGAATTAAATGCCTTGCCATTTGCTATTTTTTATATCTCGGCAGTTATTTCCCCATCTAAAACTGGGTCTTTCCAACTGATCATCGAGTTTATATTGAAGTTAAATTCCTTATTTCCTTTATTTAATAAATATCTGTAAAATGAAATCCAATCCTCAGTATCAAAATCTTCTGGTATCGTAACTATTTCCCTGAGAGCTGACATAGCGATGGGTGAGCAAAGGATAAACAAGGAAGAGGGAACAGTTGAGGAGGACAACGAGATGAGGCAGTCACCAGCGTGACAACGAAAGGTCGGAATGTTCCCGAGCGGGAGCTTATAGTCTGGCATCAGTAGAAGAACTAACATTTCGTATGTTTATATTTTATTGAATAAATGCTTTGTGCCCTATATTTGTATTGGATTACTACCAATTGCTCCACCGACTATAGACTACAAAATAGTCAAGGGAAATTTTGGACAATTGCGGCCTTTCCTGCCAACCAATTTTCAGACCGTCTAGGGTTTTACCTTCTGGTGCATCGTTTGTTCATTTGAGCATGAAAAAAAAAAAGAACAAACCATTAAACCAGACTCTCTACAGAGGAATTTATCTCGTATGTTGGCCGGTTGCCCCACGTTCTCTCCAGATCAGAACACGTCAGCAATCTGAATAAAGACTGAAGCGCGAGGCGCATCAGTGAAAAGAACAATGAGAAAAATTCCTATAACTAAACATATACCTTTATATCAAAATTTATGAAACAAAATCCTTTATTTAATTTTTTTTGTTTTGGATTGTCTTGTTCTTTGATAGATTGTCTTTGTTTTGAATTGGAAGTTCACAAAAAAAATATTTTCCTTGAATATTCCGTCGCATTTGTGATTTTTTTATGTTTAAAGTTCATTTGAACTCTTCAAAAAATAATGTTATCATTTATATGTCTAAACTATATTCCAATGCATCTACCATATCCCTACTCAACTATCTCATAAAAAAGATCCATGCAAAAGAAATAACAACCGTAAAGAAAAGCAAAAATAACATGAAATAACAAACCAACAAAAAATAGCAATGTATAAAAATGCAGTTCGCCAATTGATAAAACAAAATTTACGGGGAGGCTAGTCCCTTCTCCAAACAGCCCTCAGGGTTACAGAATCCAATCACAGACCAAATCTTTCATCAGAAAATATTCCGTCAGATAACTCAGTTTGAGGACTTTTTACTTATTGGTCCCGCGATCAAAGGACTTTCTTTAGGACATTTTCTTTCCAACGGAATAAAAGTTATTTTTAAATGCGATCAATTGGATCTCTGAAATCTTTGTTTACAAAGTTTCTTGGGAATTAACTCAATAAAGACCGTATGTCTGATACTGTATCTACACTAACTATTACAACACAGGCAAGCTGGGTATATATTTACATATAGTATGATATATTAAAATAAAGGCATATTTAGGATCAAATATATTTATTGAAAATCAAAATTCGATATTTCGATGAGGCTGTCTTCTTCTAGAAAATCAAATTCCTTGTAAGCAAATTATACGCGTGATGTACGAGAAGGGTTGTTGGTATAACATCTGCTGGATTGTTATACAAGCTCCCAAACTCAACCTCAGCATAGAAAATTCTGGTCAACTGATTCAACTCAGCAATTAAAACAGGACGCGAGTAAAAGCACTCAGCACTAGTCCATACTAGTGAGCTGGACTCCCCGGGTAGTTGGTGCTCTGCGCTCACTGGGTTATAAATATCTCTCTTATACAAACAACCCTTTTCGTGCATCACGCGGATGATTTGCTTACAAGCAGTTTGATTTTCTAGAGGATAGGCGAACGGCTTCGTTGAAATATCGAATTTTAAATTTTAATAGATATTTTTGATTCAAAATATGCCTTCATTTTAATGTATTAAAAATGGATTACTCAATATTCAACAGTATGATATATACGTATTTTTTACGCTAAGAATTTTTAAAAGAAGAAATTTATGGCACACGCGCTGGGGGTATAATTTGTCACGCTAATACCAATATATTGAAGATTATACTGTGTGTGAATATTGATGTCAAATCTTAAATTAAATGCTCACACAACACACGGGTAACACACAGTAATTCCTATTTTATTACTACATTATAGAGAATTTCAAAAATCTCCAATATGGAATCATAAAAAAATAATTTAGTTAATTACAAGCAATTAATTGGTAAATTTAATGATTTAAATATTTTTACAATTCGTAAAAATGATCTCTTGTATCAATATTAAGGTATAAATATAAGGCTCTTAGGAATAATATTTCAAAATTTTATTTTTTAAGAGAGAAACTTATCTCTGAAAGCCGGATATTTTGACCATGATAATTTAATGTTTGTTTACATTTCCATAAATGTTTCATTATGAATTCAAACACAGAATATTACAATTCAAAAATAATATTAAAGATAAATATATTTTAAAGTATATCTACAGCGGCTTCTAGACACCTCACCTTCCTGAGATATGCCAATGCAGATAAAGTCTAAAATTGAAAACGTGAGCAGCTTTCAGATTTTTTCTCTCTCATATGAGATCCATATTTCCCATATTTAGGACGACCATCCCTATTGGTCATATCCGTCACTCGGTGAGGGACAATGTGTCACCATTATTCGGCAATTCTTCGATGTCTAACGTCGATCTTCAGCTCGGAAGTCATCGTCCTCTAATTACGACTTTGTTATTTGTCGAGAGAATGTGGAGTTCTGCTCTATTTGACTTTTATCAGTTTCATGAAGACGGTGATACTGAAAATCGAGTTCCTTATCTTCAGGTAGGACTGGTAAATGTTTTGTGAGTTTGAAAAAGAGGAATAACACAGGTAGAGGAATTATATAATCTATAATGTACTGCTAGTACAAGACCATTTTTCACCCATATCCAAAATGAGGATGATTAGAAAATAAATCTATAGAAAAATCATTCCCTGCGAGTTTTTAAATGTCCTTCTGATAAAAATCATCATGATACATAGATAAAATCGAATTTCCATATTCATAAGGAACAAAGTGCTTTTCGTGGTTTCTTGATTTCAATGAGATGCTCTGAGGCTCTTTTTTCCCTATATCATAAAAACTATTCCCAACCTAGATCCCTACTGACACCAGCTATTAAAGAATTGGAGCTGTTTTATAGTAGATCAATGGCGGAAGAGCGGCCAGTTGGTTATGCTTCCAAAACCTCATCTAAGGAGAAGAATAATTACTCAAAAACGGATATAGGCCATCAACAAAAAGACCGTAAATTTTTGTTCGTTAATTCACCATTGTTACTTATAATAAAACTTTGTTCAGGTTATCTCACCTGAAAGCCCCGACAGGAAATCTAGCGAGAAAGGCCTTAAAACTACAAGAATACGAAGTTCAAGTGAGCGGAAAACCAAGATACCGGCGGTCTTACTCGAAAACCCCTCCGATGATCTACCCCTACAATAACTGCTCTGAATTACTTCGCGGATATGAACAAAGATCAAAAATAATAAAATGAGATACGATATGAATAAAAAAAGGAAGTTTTGTTGGTGGTTATCCCCAGGATGAAGTAGGCCTTCTCCTACTGTTCCAGCAATCGCCAGCGACAGGTCAGAGCCAGAATCTCGAAGATAAGGAGACCTATAAACATGGTAGAGTTGGGTTCTGATGCCCAAGAGATTCAGGCCACTGCACAGGACGAGCCAATAGACAATCCGTGAGCAGCAGCTTGATGGCAGGGTTCCCCGAACGAACCGCGTCAGGCTGGCCTGCATTTTAGTGATTGTACCGTCGCCCGGCAAGTGGCCGTCCAGATAGTGGAGCACCGACGCCAACCAAGTTTTTGCTCATGCTCTTCCGACTAGGAAAGGAGCCACGGATGTAGAGAACCTGGAGATTGCCCTCTGCAAGATAACCAGATGGAAATTTCCTGGACTGATGTTCCATGGCCTGATGAGATCTCGTAGCCTAGCACCGTGATGAATGATCTTCTCCATAAGGCCTTCCAGCTGCCGCCACACAGTTACTTGCTCTTGGAATGTTAAAGCTTACTCTTGACGCGCGCCGGAATCGTCGAAAATGATCTTCAAATTTTTGAAATCCCAATCCTTCTTTCTTCTTACAGATCAACAGGGGCATTTTATCTGTGTACACCGAAGGTTTTCTTCTTTACATAACTTTCTCCAGTTGACGCATCACTGGAGCGGTAAAGATGGAGAAAAGAGAGGCGTTGGTGGCGTATCCCTGTCGAAGCCCTATGCGCAGTTCAAACAACTGAGTGTGTTAGCCGTCTTCTTTAACAGTCGCGTCGGCCCCCGCGTAGAATAACTGGAACCATTCCATGAAAAGCAGGGGCAGGCCGATAGAGAGACACTGGAAGGCCAGGAAATTCCAGTCTACGTGGTCAATGGATAAC